GGGCCCAGGCGACAGAGGACGCGGGGCGGGCGATGCGGCACTGGCTCCCCGGGCGCAAGGACAGACGCACCCGCAGACCCAGGCAGGGAGAGGCGGACGGCCGGGTGAGTGCGGGGCGCGGCGGGGGCTCAGCGCAGTGAAGGTCAGAGGTGAGGTCATCGCTGACATCCCCGCCGGACACCGCCTACGCCGTGCTGCTGTCCCCCGGCCCGGGACCGCAGTCTTTGGGGCAGGGCTCCCCGGGCCGGTACGAGAAGCGCCGCAGGTGTCTCAGGCCGGGCCCGAATTGGGCCCTGGTCAGCTTGGAGTTGGCGCTCGGGAAATGGGTCTTGAGAGACGGATCCTTGGTGCTCGGGCGGGGAAAGTCTAATTTAGTCCCGGGGCGGGGCCCGGGGCCGAGTGTCCCCGCATTTCCGGTCCCCCTCGCCCCTTCCCAAACAGCACCCCAGGCTGGGGGGTTCTTCCTGCCGTCCTGCTCAATCCCTTCGGGATACTTTCTGAGCGCAGTTTCTGGGCACACGTCAGCCTGCAGCCACCGGAGCGCCGCTCCGGGGGGCCCGGGATCCGAAGGCCCAGGCAACGGTGCCAAGGCCTTCTGGGAGAGGGGCCCCAGCTGGGTCCTGAAAGAAGCAGGGAGTGGGGGCCCCAAGCACCGAGGAGAGACCTGGCTGGCCACCCTGCCCCCGGGGCCCTGGGGACGGGGAGGGAGCCCTGTGCCAGACTCCTGTAGGCCCCCTGGCCTTCCAGGCCCTCGTTGCTGGTCCCTCCTGCCTCCCCGGGCTCACTCTGACTGCCCCTCCCCCACTCCAGCACATCTGTGGTTTCCCTAGTTGGAATGTCCCCACCCTGCTTCCCTCCACTCCCCCTCCACTCCCGCCTTAGTGTCCCCTGCCCCGAGAAGCCTTCCCAAGCTCAGCTGAGTTGGGTATCCCCTGTGGCCGCCCCCACCCCTGCCCTGGGAGGACTGTTCACTGCAGCCTCAGTCTGGCGCTGACTGCCTGGTCTTTGTTACCCTCTGTGCAGGGCCGCATCCCCCTCCCTGAGACCAGGATCGCCCAGGCTGCCTGACCCTCCGTGCCCCAGCCTCCCTGAGCTGCAGCCAGGACCAGCTGTTGTCAGCCACCGGACTCCTGCCTGGCCCTCTGGCCTCCAGCCATGGCGCCTCTGCTTGGCCTGCTCCTGGTGGCCCTGGTGGGCCTACCTCTGGGTAAGGTGGATGGACAGAACCACGGCTGGGCACAGGCAGGCTGAGCATGGGGGAGGGGAGGCCACAATTCCTTCCTGCCCTCCTTCCAGCTGTCTCTCCTTGGGGAGGTGATGGGGGTAGGGTCTGATGGGCTGGAGGGGGCCCTCTCCCTGGACCGTGACCCCCTGTCCCCTGGCCCGCAGCCCAGGCTCTGGACTGCCACGTCTGCGCCTACAACGGAGAGAACTGTTTCAACCCCATGCGCTGCCCGGCAATGGTCTCCTACTGCATGACCACACGCACCTGTGAGTGGGCTCGGGCTGGGGGAGGCGCTCCCTGCCCCGGGGAGGGTGGGGAGACGGAGGAGGGAGGCTCCCAGCTGCCCCAGGGAGCTGAGGGCCACGGTCCGGTCCGCAGTCTGAGAGGGAGCGCACCCTGTGGCCCTGCATGCCGGGGTCGGGCCAGCAGGGGCCCAGCCCTGCAGGGTGACGGCCACCTCCTGTCCCACAGACTACACGCCATACAGGATGAAGGTTAGCAAATCCTGCGTGCCCAGCTGCTTTGAGACCGTCTATGATGGCTACTCCAAGCACGCCTCCACCACCGTCTGCTGTCAGTACGACCTGTGCAACCGTGCGGGCTTCACAGCCCCTGCCGCCCTGGCTCTGGCCCCCGCGCTCCTCACCACCCTCTGGGGTCTGCTCTGACGCCCTCGGCACACCACCCCCAGCAGACCCTCGTGGACAAAGCTCTCAAGAGGCACTGCTCTGCCCTGGCCCTGCACACCCCGCCGACCCTCTACCTTCCCCCAGACCCGGACCCCCTCAGGCCAAGCCCAGGACCCAGGCCTGTCTGCTGGAGCAATCTGGAGCTCCCCCCAGCACCCCATCTTTCCTTTCCAAAGCAGCTCATTTGGGACTGGACCATGAAAAAGTTTTCGGTTTAGTGGGGGAGTGTGTACGGGGGTGCGGGGGCTCCGTCAGCCGGTGCCCACTCAAGGAAAGGCGTGTGGCCACGCCCCACCTTCCCGGCAGCCTAGGAGCCAGGCTCTGCCTCAGTGGGCTGGAGGAGTGCTGGGGCGGGGG